TTGTGCATTTCGATTGGCAGTATCTTTGCAGTTTTTCATATACTCTGATTTCCATAGGAGATAATCCCCCCCCCTCCAGAGGGTGGCTCTGGCTAATGTCTGCCAGTCCTCGGGAGTAAGCTAATTGTCAGCCACAGTTTCTAAAATAGCTGTGGTATATGGAGCTGTGGCTCTGTATTGGGCAACTGCCACATCCCCAGACTAGCTTTTATGTGAGTTTCCAGAGTGATCCTTTCCATGTAGTGTGCAGTATCAACTTGCACCCTTCGTTTCCATGTGGTGCATGAAGTGCTTCAGCTCTTCCAGGGCATGGAGCTTGCACCTATGTCACACCAAGCTGAAGATACTTACTTTTTGGTTCTTAAAAAAACCATGGGAACCTTGTGCTAGGGTAATTTTTCTCCCTACCCAAGCTCGGAGGAGGTTGCAGGTCTCATGGCAGCTTCCAGCGTGGCAGTCTCTGCATCCTCTCTGCAGGCTCTGGGCAGCACTTGGGGCTCCTGGATTTCTGTCAGGACCACTCAGCGCTCTCTGCACATTGGGACCTCGTCCCAGGCCTGACCAAGGCCCTGTATCTGACCAGTGCGGAGCCCAGGCTGGTGCAACTCAGTAACCTCTGGTGTTCAGATCTCTGCTTTTGCTTCTGGGCATTTAATTTTCTTTTTTCTTTTCTTTCTTTTCTTTCTTTCTTTCTTTGTGGAGCCGGGGATTGAACTCAGGCCCTTGCGCTTGCCAGGCAAGTGTTTATTCAACTGACCTATCTCCCCAGCCCCCTAACTTCCTTTTAAGCTCAGTAAGTTTTTCTGTTGTATTTGGCTCCCATTTTAGATATTTGTAGAGGATGGGGAGCTATTTTATTTTGTTGATAAATAAAAAATTCCTATGTTGATTTATTCATAATCAAGTTTTATTCTATTTTAGAATGAGTTACAGAAGTTCATGGATATTACTTTTGAAAAGATTCAAGGCACAAATCAAGCATTAAGTATGTTAAAGAAATTTGAAAGGTAAAAGTAATTTTGTAAGTTCCATTTTATAAATTGGGATAATATGAACATAGTTTAGCCATTGTTATTATTATTAATTATTATTATTATTTTGCCTAATCAAAGAAAGGCTTTTCTTGAACAGTGTGAGCCACAATTATAGTTTCTTTCAAAAGATTAGGATGATTACCTCTTTGAAAGATTAGCGATTTGCTTTATTTCTGAAAATAAAGTATATGCTCAGTACTGAGGTATCTTGTGACTGCCACAGTAATACCAATATTTAAAATTAAAATAATTCTTCCCACGCTTTTCCTACACTGTAATAATTGATGCAGTTTTGATTCTTTTCTTGTGCTACAGCACTGTCTCATTCTTTTCCACTGGTGTATGTTTTATTTTTATTTATTTATTTATTTTTCTGTATTTTAGGAAAGGGTCTACAAGGTGTTCAGGGTCCCACTACTAGATTGGATTCATAGTGATTCTCCTGTTTACAGCCTCCCAAGAGCTGGGATTACAGGCATGTGCCCCCATGACTAGTCTCAATTGCTACCTCAGCCTGCCCCAGGGGCGGGGCCAGCACAGCAGGCCTGGGGATTGAACCCCCGGCCCCTGCGCCTGCTTGCAGATGCTTTAATTTGCTGAGCTATTTGGCCAGCCCTGGTGTATGTTTTAAAGTCAGTCTTCATAAAGATTAGTAAATAACTGTATTAACCCAAATATTCTACTGTTTTGCATTCTAATCAGGTTGGGTATACCCAATCTTGGCATTGATGACAAATATCGGCTAATTCTTGAGAACTATGGGGCTGACATCGATATGATTTCAAAACTGTACATGAAGCAGAAGCACGACCCTCCCTTGGCTCGAAACCAGCCTCCCATCGCTGGGAAGATCTTGTGGGTGCGTCAGCTCTTCCACAGAATCCAGCAACCTTTGCAGCTCTTCCAGCAGCACCCAACCGTGCTGAAAACACCCGAGGCCAAGCCTATAATTCGCAGCTACAACAGGGTGGCCAGGGTCCTCTTGGAGTTTGAGGTTGTCTACCACAGGGCCTGGCTTCAACAGGTGAATCCCTGGAGGGTGTTCTATGAGACTGTCCACAGAGCAGGGTCCCCTAACATTGTCAGGACTGTGCCAGTGGGATGTTGCATTTGCAGATACGTTGTGAATCATTTGGCTCAATCTAGACTAAAAGATGCTCATGAAAGAAAGTAATTATTTTAAAAAATTATTAATTTTGACTAAGGGCTTAAGCTAGGTAAAAGAAAATCATTTTTATTTTAATTTATAAATGGTGAAGTAAGAAAAATCCTATTTATTGTTTCCCTTACCCTAATGGTTAGGTTTCTTCCTTTTTATTTTTTATTTTTCATTTTTTTGAAAGCCTTTACTTTATTATTTTATTTTAATAATCTTATTGAGAAACAAATAGCAATGAGATAGTTTCAAAACCAATTGGTAGGACAGTTTTAATAATTAATGCATTGCACATTGTTGTCTTCTTAGTGGTTATTCATAGTACAAGATGCAGACATGAGGACCGCAGCTCTTGTTTGGGGCATTGCTATTGTCTCTAGGGATCGGTTCCCACCAGGTAGAAATTCGGCCTCTGGGTCTCGCCGGGAAACTGGAGGAAGGTCGTAAGCATGAAACGCAGTTCAGTCTCCACCGGTGGTGCTGGCCGCCTCTCTATGCAAGAGTTAAGATCCCTGGACATTAATAAACCAGGCCTTTATACTCCTCAAACCAAAGAAAAACCAAGCTTTGGCAAGTTGAGTATAAACAAACCTACATCTGAAAGAAAAGTCTCTGTGTTCGGTAAAAGAACCAGTGGACATGGATCCCGGAATAGTCAACTAGGTATATTTTCCAGTTCAGAAAAAATCAAGGATCCACGACCACTTAATGACAAAGCGTTCGTTCAGCAGTGTATTCGACAACTCTGCGAGTTTCTTACAGAAAATGGTTATGCATACAGTGTATCTATGAAAGCGCCATCTGTCAAAGACTTTATGAAGATCTTCACCTTTCTGTATGGTTTCCTGTGTCCTTCGTATGAGCTTCCAGACACAAAATTTGAAGAAGAGGTGCCGAGAATTTTTAAAGACCTTGGGTATCCTTTTGCTCTGTCCAAAAGCTCCATGTACACCGTGGGAGCCCCTCACACCTGGCCACATATTGTGGCAGCCTTGGTTTGGCTAATAGACTGCATCAAGATACATAATGCCATGAGAGAAAGCTCACCTTTATTTGATGATGGACAACCTTGGGTAGAAGAAACTGAAGATGGAATTATGCATAATAAGTTGTTTTTGGACTATACCATTAAGTGCTACGAGACCTTTATGACTGGTGTCGACACCTTTGAGGAGATGAATGTGGAGCTGCAGTCCAAGCTGAGGGATTTATATAATGTGGATGCGTCCAAGCTGGAATCATTAGCTGCAAAAAACAAAGCGCTGAATGAGCAGATCGCATGACTGGAGCAGGAAAGGGAAAAGGAACCGAATCGTCTAGAGTCATTGAGGAAACTGAAAACTTCCTTACAAGCAGATGTTCAAAAATATCAGTCGTACATGAGCAATTTGGAGTCTCATTCAGCTATTCTTGACCAGAAACTGAGTGGTCTCGATGAAGAAATTTCTAGAGTAGAAATAGAATGTGAAACCATAAAGCAGGAGAATACTCGGCTACAGAATATTGTTGAT